ATGTTCGGCACTTTCGAAACTACTCTGCCGTCATGCGTCTTCATTGGAAAGGTAGGTGCTGATTCAAAACGGTTGAGACCGATACACTCTACCTCCTAATAAGGCAGGGTGCGAACCAGCCTATCTAGAAGAAAAAGAAACGAGATTGGCGTTGCGAATTGCGGCGATTGTTTGACTAGGCAAGGTGTTTCGGATGGAGATAGAGCTTACCAGGAAGAACGGCCACCAGGTGATTAACGGCTGGCTTAAAATATAAAGTGCAATTGCCATTAAGATTAGCACATGGAAGAGGCGCTTTAGTGCCCACGCACATGGCGTAAAGGCTGGGATGAGGGGCAGCAACACCCAGCTAATGCGCAACTTCAGACAACTCTGTGATCGTGTGGCGTGCATAGTGAACACCGCCGATGCCTTCCACCTCTGCATGCTTCCACGAGAGAAGTAAGACGGTGCACGGGGCAGACGCCAGCGACGTCGGCCGTCAGGCTTCACGGACATCGCCTGACAAAATTGGCTTACAACGTTTCTTGGCCAGCCATGCGCCCTCTCGTGCCGGTTGTATTGTGTACGCTTCGTAGTTTACCTTGTCATTTGCTCATAGTCACATAGCGCTACGAATCACTGTGGGTTGACCTCATTGGCCTGTCTAAATACGCCTGCGCAGTCGCTCGTCACCAAGCTGCAGGTTCTTCATAGGCTGACTTCCTCCAGCACACATGTGCGGTTCGTGATCAAGTAAGCGTGACGCAGGCAAGGTGCGCAACTGCGCCGGCGGCATTTAGGTCGAATTTCGACAGATTAAGTCCAGCAGAGCAGTTCTAAGTAGAGGATGAAGACACATGGGCTGTAGCGGTGCCTCAATAGCCCCGCTGAAATCAGCCCCAGGTTCTAATGACGTCACACAACGACCATGCATCGCGATCAGCCATTCTTTTGGCATTAGTTAGCTGTTTAAGTGCAATAAGTTAGGAACACTTTGACCGTGGGGATTTGGGCGCCGTCGACAACACTTGAAAATCTATAGAGCAGGAGGGCTATGTAAAGCCCACTGATTCATTGGGGAGAGTGGACCGAGTAGTGGTTTCCTTTCAATTATGACACTGTTTTAATGCTTTGCGTTATAAGTGAAAACAGATAACAAAAGCGGTAATAGATGAAACAATTCTCTGAATAAAGTAGCATTGCCTTCCTGAAGCATTGAGAGGAATGCCTGCAGCTTAATAAGGACAAGATCCCGAAGCCCTCTCAGCAAAGCACGCGTTTAACGCTGTTAACCTGAGCACCACTTACTACTTGTTCATTACGATATGTATTTTCGCACTACTTAAGTCTAGACTATGGTATATATATATATATATATATATATATATATAATATACATACATATATATATATATATATATATATATATATATATATATATATATATATATATAATATACATACATATATATATATATATATATATATATATATATATATATATATATACTTGATTAAAAATAACTGCTAGTCAGCATTGACGAGCTTTTTGACGCATCGTTCTAGTTTCCGGGCCTTTAACTTGGCTTCATCGTTTAGATTAAAGATGGTTCGCACAAAGTTACTCATATATTCATCGCTCCTTACATTGTAACGTTTCTAGATCGTATCTCATGTTCGGAGAAGACTGAATGGCACAAGAAAAAAGTTTTGAGTTTTTAAGGATAAAAATTGTGCACTTCTGTTGGAAAACATATTTTGGTACGGAGAACATAAATGAAGCATAGCTAAGTGAAGTAAGACGAAATCCTTTTTCACTTTGATACATATAAGAAACTCCCGCACTGACAACACACCACATCGCTTTCATGCTCTGCTGTACACCTTCTCCGTTTTTCCAGCCTCAAGAATGAGGGACCGAGCGTCTCGGCATATAAACGATGCATGGCATCAGTGCCAGCCAGCAGACACTGCGAACTTCGCACCGAGCCACCGACTTCTCTTATCTGTGTGGCAGATCACTCTCTTCAAATGCAAGTCCGTGTTAATGAGCGCGCGTTGCGTAGATTATAAAATTTTGCATCCGGCGATTCAGTCTATAAATTTGTTCACGTGGTGAGGACGTTGGCACAGTAAAAGTACGACTTCAAAGTCGAGGTCGTCGCGGAACTAGCGCATCCTTTTCCGACTTGGAAAATGTTCAGAGGGTCGTCTCGGTGCTCCTTGATGTCATCGCTTCGTGTCCAAGGGATTCTGCATAACAGACCATGAAAGTTTTTGTCAGTTCTTCCCCCCCCCCCCCCCCCCGATTGGCCAGCACGAAAGGCGTGTGTTGTTGTCCACTGGCGGAGACAGCCGCTGCCGACTCCAGTTATCTGTGCGATAACACCAAAGTTATGCGTAATGGTTTCGTGAAGAACTTATGCTTATGGGGCTATTCTGAACTATGCTGGGGTACATATTTATGTACTGAGTTCATTTCGCTTCCTTGCCTGTGCGAGACTTTTCTTACCTTTTGCGGTGTCTGTCTTACGTGCAGGCTTATTAGATGGTCATAGAAAATCTGGTAAATAAAACTATCTTTCAAGCCAAATAAAGTCATGACTGGTTTGTCGGAAGGAAGGAAGGAAGGAATCATTATTTTGCAAATTACGAAACATCTTATTGTGAATGGGGTTAGCTTTAGTTGACACCTACAGAAATCTACTTGTCAGAGCTGTCCAAGCAAATGTTGTTCAAACACCAGCGCATAATGCACTTTGTCGCTGAAACGTGACGTTGGCCATTGTCTCAAGGTGTGGCATTTCATCAAAGCATTGAATGTGTCAACTTACTTGGATTTCCTGTCAATTTTCAAGAAAGAGAGAGGGAGAGAGAGAGAGAGAGAGAGAGAGAGAGAGAGAGAGAGAGAGAGAGATATATATATATATATATATATATATATATATCCATTTTTCACAAAAACGACCGCTGACTCAGAATGGACGAGCTCAAATATGGATCATCCCAGACTCCGGGCATTTGGCTTAGTGTTATCGTTTAGATTAAACTAGTTCGTGCAAAATCACTCGTGCATTCGTCAATCTGCACGTTCTTACGTTTCGGGATGTTATCTGATAGTTGGAAAAGTCTAAATGGTACAAAAATAATGTTTGGGTTCTGAAGGATGAAAATTGTGCATCACGCTCCAAAAAACATGTTTTAGTACGGAGACGACAAACGAATCATGCCCAAGTGAAGGTAAGACAGAATCCTAACATTACTTTGATACGTATCAAGTACACCCATAATGGACACACTACAAAGACACAAGCACATTGCAACGATCACATCTATGGTACTTACTCACCGCGTAGTGAGTGTCGTGATTGCACCAATGTAGTGAATAGAACGAAGTTTGCAGCCTCCGATATCGCATTTAAGTTAATACGCCACATTGGTACATTTTAGTTTTGTCGGGTTTGTATGGGCCATCTCTCATAAGAAAATCACAGTATTTCCTTTTGCGACAATAAGCGGCAATGCCTATTTTCTGGTCGTTCTTGCCTTTTACATGTCGAGAAAAGACTTCCGGTAAAGCTTCTTCATCCTGTTTGTAGGCAGATGCCATTTTATTTTGATAACATAGTTGGAATGCAAGAAGACCACAAAATACACATTGTCGTGTATCATCGCCAAAGACTTTGTTTGACTTTTTTAATGTCATCGTGACCAAAATCGTACAAGACTGCTGTGAGTTTTGCACTTGAATAAGCGATAAGAATTAGGCTAGGCAGCATGTTCCTAAAAACAAAATGTTGACCTGGGTCGTTTCCGGTCAGTGACCTTTAAGAAATTTAAGAAGTGTAAGTAAGACCTTTATTATGACCTTTAATAAGTTCATGAAAGTTGCAAAATACGGTTTCTGTCACCAATAAATTCGAAATGATCACCAGAAACTATACCATACAGCAAGCTCTGAAGCAATAAGTCAGGTTGTTTTTTACCTAGGTTTTAAGTTCATACCTGACACTAGGTCAATGAAACTTGTTTATTAAATTATTATGTTGTCCGAGAGAGTATCTCAAAGACGTATGGCTTCGTCTGACACCCCCTTATTACATCATATTTAAATATTCCATAGAAACTCAATTCGCCGAAACCATGGCCTGATTTTCATCTGCCGTAGGTCAGCGGCCTTATAAGGCACATGTAAATTTTTGATACCAAACGATCTGCTATTCAGTGGTCTACGGCTATGCAAAATTGGGCGCGGCGTAGCCGCGCCGCTCGGAAACCACTGCGGAAAATCCTTCGGGGGGAGCGGGGGGGGGGGGGGCTGAGCGTCAATTTGACCCCCACCCAAGCACGTGTTAAGTGATTTATCTTTCATTGTCCTTTATCACTGTATGTTGGTCCGTGTATTTCTGATTCTAACTTTCATTGTGTGACCGAATGCATGGTACTGTACAAGAATTGCACTTAGCAGTCAGAATCTTTGGTGTTAACCCAATCCTGGTTTGTGTTAACGTGTTATCGGTTTTGCTGACGTACTATCTTTATTCTGGGCCAGGCTACCATCCAAAACATGCTTGTCTATATAAACAATATATTTAGCTGGCAATCAACCGAGCCTTAACTTCCAGGTTGAGTAAAAGGGAACAAAGCGGTTTCAGGTCAAAAAATTCGAGTAAACTGATCATCCCATTCCCACCAAATTTGACACGGATCTATGTTAGTAACCAAATGGCGAAATATCTGAAGAATAACAAAATGATGTAATATTTTACGCCCGGGTGGCAGATCATGCGTAAAAATTCTAAATATTCAAGCCTATCGGGACGTAAATACCAAGGACGTGTTCCACTGGGCTGCTTAGTGCGTCAGCCGCTGTCCACATTAAAAAATGATTTTATCTTAATGCATTCAACCGCCGTTTTCCTTACATTACTTGCATGACAGTGCATTAGTGTAGGTTGGCCGTTTGTTGCGGTTTCGACGTTTTTGCGACAAAGTAATGCTTTCTCACTTCGCGTGTACGGAGCGGCAGCGGGCGGGAACGTTCGGTTGGGTTGTGCGAAATTTCGTTCAGTAAGTTAGGTTGCAGTACGCAGAATGGCTTCCACGGTAAGTATATCACATTGTAGGGGAGATGTGGCCAAAAAAATTTGAAGTTGAAAGAGGATACGGGTCATTCTAAATGCTCACGAAACGCCGGTGGGCTAGTCAATGGCGTCCACGAGATTTTAGACAGATTTTAAAATTTGTGTTGGGGTTCAAAGAACATGCAATGATGGAAACACCTCTAATCCACCTTATCAGCTTTCCGTTCTGATTCGCTCTCTGGGCCTCCTGGATTCACCATCTATAGTATGTTTGTTTTGTAGCAGTAGGGATGCCAGTCTGAAAATCCAATCAATGCTCGATTGCTAAGTGACCAGTGGGCTAGACTTTTTGCAGGTGTTGTGTTAGATTCAGTTCATGCTAAATTGTGCTGAGGTTTCTGATAACCTTGTTTGAGCATATTTTGTAATGTTTTATCCACATATTTATCATGACAGGTTCATTGTTTTAGAATGCTGGCTTTATATCCTTATGTAAATACTGATTTTGGGTCCAAAATACTGATTTTGGGTCCATTTATGTTTTATCCACATATTTATCATGACAGGTTTATTGTTTTAGAATGCTGGCTTTATATCCTTATGTAAATACTGATTTTGGGTCCAACTCACCAACACTTAATTTAGAACATTTGTGCCTTAAAATTTTGGTATTCATTTTTTACTTGTGCTGAAGATGGTCATTGTAAGCAACATGTACGTTTTACTATTCAGGGAGGAGTGTTCGTGAACACACTGAAGCTGATCCCTATGACCCAGGTCACTCTTTAAAGTCTGTGCATATATGATCCTACAATGTATAATGGTTGTGGGTACATGTCATCAGGTGTGCCTTATGTCTGGTAGAGGCTAACCATTACCTGCAAACATGCCAAACAATGCATGTTATGTGCTTCCAACTCTCTTCTGCTTCATTAAAAAGCTCAGCATCCTTTCCAAGCTACCTATCTTATGTCATGGAGGCAAAAATGGTAAATTAAGGTCTTATCTCTTACCAGCTGCTTTTATTGATGCTAATTGACCATCAGCACTCTTACACTGTTCACAGCAATTTTGTTGGAGGTATGTCATCCCTTTGGGTACAAGCATATGTGAATCTACCTTTAAGAGGGGATGGCACACCCAAATATATGTCAAGTGGGTTGCAAAGATCTTGGGTTGTGACTGGGATGTATTTCTGTAAGCTTGTTTCATTTTGCACTAAGTTAGCATTCAGCCCAAGTAAACCACATGGCATTATTATAGTGAGCATGAGTACCTAATTATCAAAATCAAATCAGTTCAAATCAAATCAAAATCAATTCAGCCTTGGATATTCAGAAAGGGGCAGTGTGCTTTCCTGATTCACAATGAATATTCCTTTGTCAAGAACTTCATCTTAAGCATGCAAGCAATGTGCTGGGTTTTATTCCTAAAAGGGACAGGGTGGATCTAGCCAATATTACCTACCACCACTGAATCATGCAGCATTTTGATCCATGATGCTACAACCAAAGTTGTTTTTGTTGTTCATGGTTTGTTGGGAACTGAAAGCCACCTTGATAGCTTGATCATCCCACTCATAGGAAAAGTAGTGTCAGAAACCCAGTATGGTTGACCCAATTATTTTCTGTAATGAAATTATGTGTTGCTGACATTGACAGCCCTGTTGTGTTCTGTAGCAGCCTGCCACTGGAGGGGGTGACCAGAAGGAAAGGAAAAAGAAGGAATCAATCTTAGACCTCTCCAAGTACCTGGACAAGCCCATTCGGGTGAAGTTCTCTGGTGGCCGTGAGTCATCTGGCATCCTGAAGGGGTTTGATCAGCTGCTGAACCTGGTGCTTGACAACACCACAGAACACCTCAGAGGTAGGCTGATCCGCTGGCATCAAAAACCAAAATGATGGCATCAAAAACCAAAAACCAATGATGAACACCAAAATAGATCACAGGGGTAGGCAGGCCCACTTGTGGTTCAGTGGTGCAAGAGCCCAATATGAACGTCAAGGTGGTTACATCAACAGCCCAAGGGAGTGGACATAGCTTAATTGACCATGACCTGCTCCCAACATTATTTGTACACTTACAGTAGGGTGTTTCTGCAGATTTCCCTCACATGTTGCACTACTTTGCCACATAGCTGTCCAATAGTTTGCCCTCCACAGGGAAGGATAGTTTGAAGAAGCCAGTGGACCTTAAGTCAGTCTACATACAGTACCATTGATGGGCATCACACTTGTCTGTCATATGGAGTTGGACAACATATACAGTGTGACTCAGTGCACAGATTTTCTCAGTCTCCAGTCTCCAGTCTTAGATATTCCCTCCTGCCCGAGACACTTCCATGCACAGTCCAGTGGCCCCTTGCTGCAGTCTTCAGATGATATGTGCCAGCTGGTGTTCGGAACCTTTTGCACGCTTAATCGCTGTTGTGAGCTCTCACCACAATGGGTGTGGCCATGCAGGCGAATTGTGAAAAAGAGAATCAACCCAATCATATTACACTAGATTATTGTCACCTAAGGCTTTTGGAAGCTGGGGTCATGGTGCCAATAGAAATGATGCACCAGGCAGCTACATGATAAGTGGGCAATCAAATTGGGCAAAAATCAGTGATGCTTGATTGATTTCAAAGGCTGTGACATGACAATAATGAAATGTCATCAGGAAATACTGTTGGTGATGAAGATTTAGCCTGTTTTCACTGCCTGTTTTCAAGCCTGGCACCGTCAGCCACTCAAGGACTAGACGCCGCCGAATCCACACTACACTACATCCTTAGCGCATATTCTCGCGTGCCACGCACATTCTCACAGGCTGCGCTCGACATAAGTCTCGGCTGTAGATCAGCGCTAGCGGGTGACCAGGCGCCCCAAGCCTCCTTTACCTGCGGGACCCGTGGTGACGTGGCCTGTTTGGGCGCCCAGGCCCGTACCTGACCTCCCACACCTGCGGGACCTGTGGTGAGGTGGCCTGTCTGCCCCCAGACCCGTACCTGACCCTGCGGGACACGTGGTGAGGTGGCCTGGCTGTGCCCCCAGACCCGTACCTGACCTCCCTCGCCCGCGGGATCCGTGGTAAGGTGACCTGGCTGTGCCCCCAGACCCGGACGACCCGTACCGGCTGACGGAGGACACGCGCCAGTTGGGCCTGGTCGTGTGTCGGGGCACGGCTGTCGTCCTCATCTGTCCAGCCGACGGCATGGAGAGCATACCGAACCCGTTCGTGCAGCAGGACGGCTGAGCCGGTGCCGGCGCTGCGTGGCGGTGCCGCGGCACGGTGGCGGGCGCGCCGGCCGGTGGCTCCAACTGGGAGACGGCGTGGTGGACAGGTGGCGCCACCTGTTGTCAGTCGTTGGCTCCACGGTGGGGCAGCCTCTGCCGTCGCCGTGCGGGTTTAAGTTCCGTCTAAGTCAGATGGGACTGTCTTTATGTCACCGTTGCTGCTGCCTCTTGAGTTCGTGCCCGTGGCTCCAGCCGTTTCCATACGACATTGTGTTGTGGTAAGGAAATAAAGTGTCTTTTTGTTATTCTTCGTCTAGTTGCCACGTGTACGCTGAGCAAGGTTCGGATGATAGCTTGAGAAAGCTTCGAGTCTGTGCTCACACTGCTCGAGTAAGCTCCAGCCTAGCTGTCGGATGCCCGATTTTCCTCTAAAACCGCTGGGTCTACCCGACACGGCCACCTTGGTCTGTCGTGCGGCAAAAGGTAGCCTTCTCCGCTTTGGCTTACAGTGAGGGCATCGAGTCCAAACGCCGGTTGTTGCTGTTGGCTGATGTGGCGTCTAAACGCCACACTAGAAGCTCTCTAAAGCCCTAGGAGCCATTCATCTGAGCGCCAAGTCGAGGAACGTCCCATCCTGCGGACGGCAGCAGAGCAGGGCCCCGGATTCCGCCCTCATGTGGTCGTGGGATGACGCAGTGGCTGGGGCTCCGTTTTTAGACATTTTGCTTTGGTTCCTGTAGCGTGGAAAGACATCACATTCATCTTAGCAGAAGTCACATTGAACGACAATGCGAGATGTCGTCAAGGATTGTCGTCCTTTTAAATCATGCATGTCTATCGACGAAGCGCACGTGTCTTTTTTCAAAATCAAGTTTGATGCAAGTCCAAAACTTCGATACATCTTTTACAATGCATGCAAAACAGGCTCATGGACAGGTAATGAGAGTTTCCTGGACCTGCACCATTCATTCTCATCCAATCCTGGTACAATCTAACTCTCAGAAGAAGCTCTCAGGGTCACCCCGGCCGGGTGCAGATAAATAGCTACACATTAACATAACCTAACATTTGTTTTAGCTTACCTGATTGGCCTGCGTCAGGTCACCGGTCAAGACTAGGGATGCACACACGCCGAAACAACCACAGCACAAACGCTGAAAGAACGGTCGATGTTTTTGTACACTTCGGACGGGTAAGAGTGTAGTGAGTGTCCTGTAAAGGTGACGAAGTGGGTCAGAAAGGCATCAAAAAAGAAAACATCGACCACTTAAAAAAGTGTGCGTGTCGTGCCACAGGACCCGCCAACCTGGACCTGGACCACGGACCTGGACCTGGACCATGGACCTGGACCTGGACCATGGACCTGGGCTTGGGCCTGGACCACGGACGTTTCCAACATACTTCTGTCGAAATTGAGCGGTGCTGTGGACATTTTCTTAGGGCAGCTCGTTTTTCCAAGTTTGTGTACTCCGCTCGACTCCACCATTTCAAATCTGGAAACGCTTTGGTGGAAGTGCGGTGCGTCTGTTGAACTTTGGGAATCATTCGAAGACTTGTCCTATTTGTGCTCTATCGTGGCCAGACGATGCCAAATTATGGGGCCAGACGGTGGCAAGTTATGACTCGTAGGAAAAATTTTGGTCAGGGGCGAAGTGTCACAAAATTACGTTGATTTGGGCCAAATTCTTGCGAAATCACTCAGTATCTTGTGTTAAGCTTTCACCTCAGGAGGGCCAGGGCCTCCGAAACCATCCCCAGAGCTGCGTGCTAAAAGGAAGGCTCACTTCCTGGCAATTGCCCGCATTAAACGCCCAAAAATCAATGAAAAAACAAGTTCTCTTAGCTCCCACCACGCTTAATCGACTTTGAAGAGGACAGGTTTTGAAATAACCATTTTCGAGACATCCAAAGCTTGCAAAGTTGTGGCGCCGCCTGTTTTAAGTGGTTCTTCCCAGCGATTCTGATCTCTCGTGAATTCTCCGTTAGTGGCGAATGTATTTCGTTCATGTAGAAAAAACCCTGCAACCTGAAACTGGTGAAATCGGATCAAAAAGATCATGGCCGATTAGGGATAAACACTGCCTGGCGATAGTGATCCGACAGTGGCATCGTGCGCGTTGGTCGCACCCATCTCGAGAAAGATAAAACAGGAAAATAAAACAGAAGAGACAAAAAATAAATACAACATCGCGCCGTTATCTTGCAAGCCATCCGTGCGCGTGACTCGCGATGATCCAGATAGGCGCTTTGGGTGGGTCGGCCGAATAAAGCGGATTTTCTCATCTGTGAAAAGTAAGTGCTACTGGCAGCTTGAAGCCCTTTGCCAGAGCTATCGAATCCCTGAAGTCGCACTGATCGCGCCGGATTATAGCCAGTTCTCCCCCCCCCCCCCCCCCGTATTCTGGCCAACACGCCACGGGCAGGACATGCGGAGTTCGTAATGTGCAGTCAGGGGGTTAATTGAACAAAACATATCGTGACAGCGAATGTACCTGTGCGCCGGTGGTGTATGCTATCGTATTTACCTCATCGTGATTTTCGTGATCATTCAAATGTACGGCTGACTTCGAGGCGCGCGAAGCGGTGATCATTCTGTGCATGGTGTGATTCTACACTCAAGTCACATCCTCATTGTTTTCTATTTTAAGGTTTCCGGCTTGTGCTATTCAGCCCCCCAATCACCCGCATTCGTTCTTGACATAGATGTGTGCGCAGTGTCTGGCGTTTGCCGCAAACAGTTCAAGAGACTAAAAGCGTCCGCCGCCTATTCGACCGTGAGTTTAACGAACATGATAGTTGATCTTGTGCTGTGGATGTGTCTTAAATATCCATCAGCGATCGAATCAAATTTCAGACACGACACGCCGGACACGTCATTTAAGACATGAATGATCACACAGTATTCGACTTCATGGCCAGGCTGTGTGAGTAGCTCCATCCAAACCCATATCGGAACGGCCCGCCGATCACTGGCGATACGGCGCGTAAATGCACCATGGCAGGTGCCGTGCACCGCGCAGGTGCAATGTCGCGCAATACAGGACACGGCGCCAACTTTAAATACTGCTACTTGTGAATAGAAAGGTGCCACCATGTTCATGTCGATGTCATTATGGGAGAGTTAGTTACCGGCCTATAACATAAGTCTCGTATCAGCCGGCAACACTTTTTTTTATCAAATCACTCTTTAAAAATGCTAACGTTAACTGCGACAAGCTTGCACTCACAGTGATATCTTTACTACGGTGGCTCGGAAAAAAATTGTAACTGAACCTAAATATTGCAACTCTGTGTGTTTCACAGCGCTGGTGTATGGCTTTCATTTGTCAGTGAAATACATTCGTCAGATGTTGAAATTGCTTTATTCATTCGACCTCCAGACACCGTTTCACTCAATGCTTTGTCGCCGGTCCACGGCAATGCCTGGCACAGATATGCCGTCCAAGTTAAAACACGTCTACATGTGAGCAGAAGGTGCAGCCTTGCGCACACAGTGTAAGTGATATCGATCGGCCGGCAATGTAAGCCTAATATTGGCCGACGTGACCTTTTTTGTTCAAATCCACCCTTGGCAGCGCAGAGCTAACGGCGGCCGGCCTGCATGTAGGGTGGTGGCCAAAATACGGCGGCGCGGGAAAAAACACTCGTAATGAAACCGAAAGATTGCGACAGTAATCATTCGATAGCGCTGTTAAAGACTGCCAGCTGGCAGTACGGCGCACTCGTTGGATTTTGATTTTATTCGCTCGACACTGCAATAGCGCATTGGTGGATGCTGGAGCAGTCCGGAGTGGTGAATTGCACAGATACGGTGTCCATTTTCAAATACTTTTGCTTGTGGATGGAAGGCCCCGGTTAGCGCACAGGATGTCATTGTGGGAGCACATTAAACCGACAATGTAAACCTCGTATCAGCCTACATGGCCAATCTTATTCAAATCACCCGATGACTGCGCATAACTTTTTCACGACCCCTTTGTGCTCAAAGTGATGGATTAAATAGGGGGCCCGGATTTGCTTACCACTCAAATGTGCTTACGATTAAACCCCAATATTTTAACTGTGTGCTCTCAATACCACTGGTATAGGGCTATCAGCTGTCAGTGCAACGCACTCGTCGGATTTTGATTTCGATTTTATTCGATCCACACTCCGCCCAAGTATCGCTCTATGCTTGCGTGCCGGCCAAAACGGTGGTTTGCACAGATGCGGCTTTTCATTTGAAATGCATTTATTTGTGTGCGGAGGGTGCAACTGTGTTTACACGATGTCATTGTGACAGCACTATGAATAGAAACGTAAATCTCGTATCGGGTGACATGACGAGTTGTGTTCAAACCACCATTTGGGAAAGATACTTTCCGACATCCAGTCTGCACTGCATGTAAAATGATGATCATATTACAACGGTCCATGAGAACACTCATATTCAGGCAAATAGATTGCAACTGTGGTCATTCGATAGCGCTAGCTTAGTGCTACCAGCTGCCAGGGTGGCACCATTGGCGGATTTGGTTGCAGTTTTATTATCAAGTTGGCCGATGCAAGATTTACATTGCCGGTCGATAGTCATCCCATAAAAGCGTCGTGTGCATACATTTGCACCTTTCTCACAAAAGTAAAAGTATTTAATATTGGACGCCGTTTCTGTGCGAATCACACTCCAGCTGGGCCGCGAAAATTTAGTGATAACCTTTCGGAGGTCGCCAGAAAAAATTGATAACAAAATCCGACCAGTATGTTGAACTAGTAGCTGATAGCCACGTATCAGTGTTATTGAATGAACACAGTTGCAATCCTTTGAATTAAGTGATAATTTTTCCCCAGACCCCCGTAGCATGGCTATCACTCTAGGTGCAGGCCAATGGAGATTAATCCGCGCTGTCACGGGGTATTCTAAACAAAATGTCATGTCTGCCGATGCCAGATGTACTTTGCAGACTGAGAACGCTCCCACAGTATCCTCATTAGCGCCAGGCTGCACCTTTCACCCACAAGCAAAAGTATTTCACATCAGGCGCCTTATCTTCACAAATCGTCGCTCCAGGTGGCTGGCCAGCATTAAGTGATATGTTGTCGGAGGATCGACCGGAAAAATAGACATGAAAGGTATGCTGTAGTGGCAGCTGATAGCCTTATACCAGTGCGAACGATTGGACACGGTCGCGATATTTGAGATTGTAAGCATTTTCCAAGACCGCAGTATTAGGCCATCACTCTGTGAAGGGGCTGCCCGCCGTTAGCTCTACGGTGACAGCGGATGGTTTTACGCTAAGGCCGGTCGTGTTGGCCATGCTGCTATTTAGCTACTTTTTCTGCGTAGTTGTGGCGTTTTAGAAACGCTGAGCACCTGCTGATATTCATCAGCTCGGCCAAATACAACCAACAGAACTAGTGGAATAACATACCGTGTACGCTGGCCAACCTACGGTGTGACAACAGGTAATCCCCTGGCGCATAAGCGCCTCCATTGATCCTGGTGCAAGAGAACTGCGAGAGCACAGCAACCGAAATGGCTACCACACAACACAGCGACGCGGCTGAACTGCCGCCGATCTGCCTCGTGCGAGGTCATGGTGCTGACCTGTTGAAACGGGGATCCGCATCTGCCGTAATTTTGCTCCACTTTCAAGTATACAACACTTTCTAGGCATCATCAAAGTTTTGTTTTTGTTTGCACCCGCCAAATGCGCGGCGGGTTCAGTTGCCATCATAGCCCATGATGAAAAGCAACGGACAGAATACCCGTGATTTATGAATGAGATGGTGCGATTGAAATGTGGGGTATTACTGTCTGAACCATTTCAGCACTGTGATGAGATTTATTAGCAGATAGGCTCTTTGCCTTGGTGTTCCACTGTCGATTCCTTGCACGTCGATGCTACTGGAACTGCACGTGCGTTGCTCTGTACGAGTACTCATTATTCACGTGCGATACTCGAAACTGCACGTGCATTACTCTTCACGAGTACTCATTACTCACGTGCGATACTCGAAACTGAAGGTGCCTTTACTCTGAGTCTGCATGGTTCGTTAGCAGAGTGCGCCTTCAACACCCACAAACGTTAGGTAACAAATGATGTATTTAGCGTTATCACGACAGAACGTGTACACTTTCATTGTGGGAAACGATACAACCGCGCGCTAGCACGCGCAACCGTCCTTCATTCATTCCTGTTCAGGGGGAGCGTGCCCTGTGGACCGACGTCACAAATCGACCCACCAGCCCTGTGCTCTCCTCCAACATTTTAATAAATAGCCAATCATGAGAAAAACACGTGCTATCAAAAAAGACATAATATCTGTTGTATGAATGCACACAATGAAATAAATAACAACATAACAACTAACACGAGACCTCATCGCCACCTGCGTGCTCGGTTATTCAAATGCACTACATGTGACTACCAGAAGCAAACACGAGTACAGGAGAGTTAAACCTAACAATTTGCCGCCCGTCACGCCGACACCACCTATCGGCGACCTGAGCAACCAGCGCTTAAAGGAATCAAACACGAGCAGTGCTGGGAAGCAGCTGACTGCAGAATGCCATTCATTCACAACGGCGAGCAGCTCTCGATTCCGAAGACGAGCGCTGCGGGTTCACTGGAATACGCTCGCCGAAGTTTCGCCGGCGGCGGGGGGGGGGGGGGGGGCGGGGGCGGGGGAGCAGAGCTGCAACTTTATCAAACGTATCAGCTTTGTCTGCTTGATGACATCACCTATGTGAGATCGTCGTGCTCTCCACAGTGGTGTCTCGGGAATACTTGTGTGTGGAGGTATACGATCATAGTCAGTTTGAGAAGGTGGAGCCTTCCGTTCTTTCTCTAATTTGCACCTCGCCAATGTGACAGAAAGAGCTCCCATTCAGAATCAGTAATTCATGCGTGATACGGGGACTGTGGGCAAATGATAACAACGCTGAGGCTGAACATCGCTTTGCTCCAAATGGCGAGACAAGACTCGTCAACGCCGAAGGGACAAGTGAATTTTGGATACTTTTGGATGCCCTGGGCTAATGAACCTGGGGGAGTCTCCCCGGTCTTGCGCAACATTGCCTCTGACTGCGACGCATGGCGAGTCGAACGAGCGAGATGTTTAACATGGTGGTGTGTCTAATTGCCGATATAGCCGGCCTGGACTCAGTAGCAGTCGCACGCGTTCTCCTTTTTCACGTCATCCGAAGCGTTGTGGGCCCTGTCCTGTGGCCTCTGAGAACCTTTAATTTCAGGATGGCTTTCAGTTTAAGCTGACGCTAGCTTGACAAATCGCTGAACTCTGCGGGGGGGGAATGCGTCGATTAAGTGCAACATGGTGAGTATCTCTAGCAGCTTGTTTCAGGAAAACTAACACTGTCCATCAAAGCCACGTGCTGTTACAGCTACGTTTTCCTCTGATGTGTAGTGTCCAGACGCCAGCGTCAGTTCAGCATCGGTCTGAAGCCGCTGTACAGCTCCGGCAGCTGGAACTCGGCTGGAGACCGGTCTGTGGACCGTGGCGTTGACCACCTCTCCCTCGGGGTCGATGACCCCGCGCTCAAGGTCGAGCCCTGGGGCCGTGGCGCATTGGAGACGCTGCCGCGGCGGAAGCCAGCCGGGGGACGCTGTTCCGACTCCAGCGTGCGCTCCCGTGACCCCAGGTCGACGGGAATGACCTTGCCAACGCCGGGTCCCTTCGGCGGACCGACGGCGTAGCTGGACGTGTGGGTGACCTCGACTGTCATGTAGTCATTCCGCGGATCATAGCGGGAATTCGCCGTCGCCGCCGCCGATCCCTGTGTAGTTGTCGTCGTGGGGGTTGTTATGGGCTTGGGTGTAGCGTTAACTTTGGGCGTTGTCTTGGCGGACGTGCGAACTGGTGTCGATGGCGTGAAACTGAGCTTCGTTACCTTCCCGGTAGTGGGCTCTGCCGTCGTGCTTGACCCACCCACGACTACTTGTTTGCTCGTCACGGCTGCCGACTGCTCCGTGGTGTCATCCCTCGACAGCAAGGGACGCTCAGCGCGTTCCACCGCGTCGCTTGCCTTCGCTCCCCCCGAAACCAGCCGCGCCAGGAGCCCGCCCTTCCTCCGCCCTCTCTCCGCTCTCTCCGGCTTTTGCTGCTGCAGCGCCGCCTCCACCGGCGCCTTCGCACGCGCCGCGATGTACGGTGCGCGCGCCGTGGACGACACCACGCTCGACATGTCCTCGGGGTGCGGGATGTACGGCGCGCCGGGCGGCGGCTCCTCGAACGGGCCCACCACCATGATCCGCTTCTCGTTGAGCAGGGTGGCGGGCCGCACCGTCGGCGGTCGCATCGTCAGCCGCGTCGGCTCCGGCACCGGACGCCTGCCGCCGCCGACGCGACGCCGCGGCGGTGGCCGCAGTCCCGTCCGGTTACGCGGCGGCAGCTGCTGGGCGGCCGGGCGCGGGCGCAGAGGGCGCTGCGGTCGCCGCCGCTGAGGCTCGGCGAGCAGGTACCCGCCGCCCTCGGGAACACGGAGCACCTGCGCCACGCTCGGCTTGGAGAGCTTGGGGTGCAGCATCTGTAGGGTGCTGAGCTTGCCGAGCTCGCCGGAGCCGCGACGCCGCTGTACCTCGGGCGCGCCGCGGCGGCGGGTCGGCTCCGTCTGTCCCCGGCGCCGCTGCGATGGCCGCGGCGGCGCCGCGCCGGCAGCATTCGGCCTGAACTGCGGCAGGATGTTGAGCTTCGGGCGCGGTGCCTCGACGGCCGTCTTGGCTGCCTCGGAGCCGGCCGGCAGCGGGTCTTGGCGGACGAAGCTGCCGCCGGCGCGCACCAGGCCCGGTGATCGCTGCTGGTCGAGAGCCGGCAGCAGGCGCGGCGGAGGAGGCGGCGCTGACCCGCTCAGCGAGGCGGCCGACGGCGAGAAGGGCCGGCTCGGCCCGCCGCCGAACCCCTCGGGGAATCCCTGGGGGGCCACTGCACCCCTATTTCTGACGGCGCTCCGGTCGGCGCCGGGCGGCGCGGGAGCCTGCCGGTCGCCGGGCCTCGGTCGGCCCTCTAGTGGCCGGACCGGCGCCGCGCCCTGCCGCGGGCCTGGCGGACGAGGCCGGACTGGTGGCGCCACCTGCGGCCTCTGCTCCTCCTCGCCACCGCGGAACCAGCTCAGCAAACTGCCCAGGTAGCCACCAGACGACGGCTTCTTGGTGGGCGGAGGACGGCGTGGACGCGTGCCCGGCCTGCCATCTGGCGGCTGTACCGGCCTGCCTGCCTGTGGCTGGCCCGGCCTGCCTCCCTGTGCCAGGACCTGGCCTGCCCCCTGGCAGCAGACCCGGCCTGTTGTCCGACGTCGGACGCTGTGGGCCTCCGAACGGTCGAGAGGCGGCGCCTGGCGGCGGCCGGCCGAAGCTGGGGCCGGGCAGCTGCTGGATGCCGGCACCGGGGCCCGACTGCAGGTTCGGCCCCTCCGTTACGCGGATCGAGGCGTCCGTCTGCCCGCTGTTCGGGAAGACGGGCTGGAACGGCTCCTGGGGCTGGAACGGCTCCTGGGGCTGGAATTGCTGCTGCTGGTGCGGACCAGGATTACGATGGTCAGATGATGTTTGCTGCTCTTGCTGCTCGGCGTGAGAAAACGACTGCTGCTGCTGCTGCTGCTGGAAGAATGGCTTCTGATTCTGCGGCGACGGGGCCTGGTTCTCCGGAGAGAACAGACCTTCCTGTTGCTTCTCACCTTCCTCAGCATGAAACTCCTCCTCGAGGGCCGTCTCTGGAGTGAGACGGAAAGGCTTCTGGAAGCCCCCGACCAGCTGCGGCTCCGGAAGCGGTTTCCGGAATATGGGCTTCTTCGGCGAGCCGTGCCTCTTGTCCTTGTTCTCGACCGGTGCAGGCCGCGGCGTCACTGTGTCCCGCCACGACTGGGGCTCCACTGCGCTGGGTGTCACGTGGTACACCTCTCTGGTGACCTCGGTCGGGCGCCTGGTGGTGGTCGTTGTCGTAGCGGGAGGCGTGTCCTTACGACGGCCAAAATCGCCAAAGTTGGTCTCAAAGTTCGGGAAGGCGGGGAAGTCGTGTGAAAAAGCGTCGGTATGCAGATCGTCGTCCTCTTCTTCTCTGTTCGGGATATCTCGAACTGGCTGTCGCTCTTTCTCAGCAGAAGATGGCCGGGGAATGAACGGCACGCGCTTGCGAGTTTTCAAACCGCCCGGTCGTCGCCGGAACGCCAGCTGTTGGTGCAGCGGCGCACGCGTCACTGCCGGCTCGTCCTCTGATTGGTCGAAGGGCGCGGAGCCAAGGTCATGGTCGCCGAAGTGGTCGTCTGATTGGTCTATGCCGAAGCCGTGCGAAGCGAAGCTGCCGTGCTGGTGAGACGGCCGGACGGTGACCGGACGCCGCGAGTCGGCCGTCACGCGTGAGCCGAACTGGCCACTGCCGGGCGTCACGATCTTGGCGCGCGGCGTGGTGGTGACGTACTGCACGCCGTCGGTGACGAGCGGGCGCCGGGTGCGCCGTCTGGTGGTCGGCGCTGCAGTAGTGGTGGTGGTGGTGGTGGTGGTGGCTGTGGTGGTTGAGCGTCGTTGGACGGCGGACGTCTGCTCGGCACCATAGCCCTGTAGGTTGGTGTTGGCGTACCCTCCGCTGACTGTGGGGCCTCGGGGCCTCTGGTGGCTGCGCACCTCCGTGCCGTTCTTGAACACGTGAATTGGGATGTCGAGCAGCTCGTGGAAACCTGAAATGGATGATGCGAAATCATCTGACTGTTCGTGGAGCACGGCGTGGGTTTTGATGGAACCCTTGCTACGAGTGTACACGGCAAAGCTGATAGCACTAAAACGTACTGGATGGCTGCAGAAAAGCGCGCAGTTAAATGCAGCAGAATATGAAGATCGAGAGCGATTTAACATAGCAAATGACAGCACATGTTAATTTAAGACCCAAAAGCGGACCGAAAACAGACATCAACGTGTGGAAATGGTACATTTCAAGCGCTTTGTCCACCTATCTCACGCGCACCTACGAACGGGCTATCGCTAAAATGCACTCACTCTGCGGGAACAGCTGATACGGGTTGTACTCGGTGACCTCCTGCTGAGGGTCACCGAGGTCAGGAGCCTGTGGTCGGCTGTAACGCACCTCCTCTATGCCCTCGGGGGTGAACTCGTTCTCTGACGAGCCCTGCCCACACACAGAAGTGGCGTCAAAGACACGAGGAAAGAAATGGCACGACCACACATCCTCCGCCAAGGAGCGCGTGGTATGCCACCTGCCATAGCGGTATCTTATTTCAGCGATTAGCGATAACTTAGCGATTTGAAACAACATGTAAGCGCATATCGATATTACAACGTAAATCACGTGGACAAATCGGCGCAAATCAGAGCTGATGCTTACAAAGGGTCTAGCGCCTTCGACGTAGAGCGATCAGATTGTCGGGTACGTACCACGTACTCCGGGTACCGTTCGCTGACGGGTCCGTCGTACCGCTCGATGGGTGACTGTTCAACCGCTCGGCCCGACTGTAATGTCACCAGAGGTCATCGGGCGCACCGATGGACGAGAAGCTCAAGTTTTTGTGGTATTGCTCGCCCAAGGGACGCTAATCATCATGGGCGCCACGTGAATTTGCACATTGAATGCAAGCAAAATCATGCGGTGAAACGGGATTCAGTGCAAGTTCGGGAAAGAACGCAACCAAAGACTATTGAGGAAACTTTGTGGAAAAAAGAAACATTTAAACGCTTTGTTATTCAGCCAGTCAACGTTAACCGTGCACGAGCGGTGGTTCGCTAATCTCGCCCCAATCCCAGCACTTTGCCAGAGCTTCGGTACCAAGTGTCATAGAGAAAGAGGCATTTTTTGCTGCCTGATCCCTATAACTGGCACTGGCGTCGTAACGAAGCATACAACTCGGTAAATATATATCATACATATCTATAACATATAAATATGATGTATAAATACATACAAAAAATGAAAACATATGTACATATTAGAATACATAATATATAAATATATCATTAACATAGTAAATATATAACATATCTCCCGGTAGCCATGTTCCGAAAACGAGCCCGGTGAAGCCAGCTTACCGCCTGTTCCTTCCGTTTCGGTCCACCACGAGCCTATTCCGTCTCCCCGTGAGGGGAACTGACATCAGCCCATGTTATGGCCCCGGGCCCCACCCCCCCCCCCCCCCCCCCCCACCGGGTAGTTGCGTGTGTCTGGGTGTCAAAGGGAACTGACACTGACCTGTGTTACGGACCCATACCCACCCCTCCCTCCTCACCGAGCAGTTGTGTGAGTCTGGGTGTGGGAGGATACTGACGTCGGCCCGCGTTACGGACCCAGACCCACCCCTCCCTCCCCACCGAGCAGTTTTGTGCGTCTGGGTGTAGGAGACCGACACCGACCCGTGTTGCGGCCCCGGGCTCCGGCCCTCCCTCCCCACCGAGCAGTTGTGTGCGTCTGGGTGTGGGAGGGGACTGACGCCGGCCCCTGTTACGGCCCCGAGCTCAGGCCCTCCCTCCCCAGCGGACCGGGCTGGCGCTTGTGGCGCCGGCGCGTAGACTGGCGGCTGGTTTGCGGCGTCGGCCCGGCGGCTGTGGTCCCCGGACGAGGACGTATCGCCACGCCGGGGAGGACCGACCGTGGGAAGGTCCGCCAATTGCCGTGAGAATTGCGGTCGGCAGGTCTGTCGTCAGCGTTGCGGCTCGGTCCGGCGGAGCTCACCGACGAACCTCAGGAGCGTCGCGGCTCGGTCCGGAGCTCACTGACGAACCTCAGGAATGTCGCGGCTCGGCGCAGAGCTCACCGACGAGCCTCAGGAGCCTCGCGGCTCGGCCTGAAGCTCACCGACGAGCCTCAGGAGCGTCGCGGCTCAACTTGGACCTCACCGACTAAGCTCAGGAGCGTCGCGGCTCAACTTGGACCTCAACGACTAGGCTCAGGAGCGTCGCAGCTCAACTTGGACCTCACCGACTAAGCTCAGGAGCGTCGCGGCTCAACTTGGACCTCACCGACTAAGCTCAGGGGCGTCGCGGTTCGGCCCGGACCTCACCGACCAAGCTCAGGGGCGGCACACGCGGCCAGCGGCAGGAGTTGCTTGAAAGGATGCGATACGTGTTTGGTGCAACCTGATGTCGGCAATCTGCCGAAAACCCACATTATCTGTGTTGAACTTACCTGTGTGAGGCTTCTTTAGACCATAATTTTGTGGCTTAGGCGCTTCCGAATTCTTGCCATGGCCACACTTTAACACGCGCGTGGGTGGAGGTAGATTTAAACTCTTCTCTCCCCTCCCGAAGGTTTTTGCATAGTAATTTTTGATTGGTGGGATGTGCCAGCGCCAAACTATGAATATTATAAGCAACTGAACAGTGGTCTTGTGGTATTAGACAGTGATATGTGCCTTGCAAGGTCACTGACCTATGGTAGGTCAAAGTCATGCCGTAGCTGTGACTGAAGGCAGTCTTTAGAGAATCACTCAATCGGATGCGACAAGAGTGTTTGAAGAAGAAATGCATCTCTGAGATAGTTTCGCAGGCAATAAAGCAATCATATTCCGGCTTACAGCATATTTCATTGATCTAGGTCAAGTGCAAAAGTCAGTCCGAGGTCAAAACCAATTTGTTTTTAACTTGGGATTTTGCTTGGTTGAGTGGTTTCTTGTTCTTATTTCGAATTTATTGAAAATAAGTACCGTCACAGATACCAAATGAACAAAGTCGCCTTTTCCTTAGAAATGGCATTTAGGTTCAAGGCGGCTGCACGAGGACGTCTGGGAGTACTTTGGCCCCCAGTCTGGAGTATGATCTTGTTTGAACTTATGTTGCCTCAAGGTCATGACCTGGGAGCCTCAAATTTTGACGTCAGTGAGTTTACATACTGGCCAACTCACACGGATAATTTAGTTACCTAGTTCTGTTTGCTTCTGAGATCTCAGAAGTCAAATTTAGTCTCCCCTCCCCACACAAGCGAATGGTATTTAACTAACCATCCAGGCGCGTGCTAACGCCTGTTTAAGCTTACTGTTTCGTAACACCCTTGCCTACTTGGGAGCGTACACAGGGTTGACCTTATCATTAGCCGTTCTGATAGTCCTCAAGTTCTCACCTGTCCCGGCTGGTCGCTGAGTATGCCAGGTCTCTTGTCCAGCTGGCGTGATACCCGATTAGTCTCCTCATCTGGCAGCTCTGCCGTGATGTCATCAGTGATCTCCACCACGCGAGCTGCCACCGATCCCGCCTTTTGTGGCCATCGCACCGTCAAGGTGCGCATGACGTCATCTTGGTCGTGGTTGTTCGGGTCGTTGATAGGTGGCGGCAGCAGCGTATCGTGAAGATCCGGAACCACGACCGCGGCCAGGGAAGGCCCAGCTGAGATCAGAGCCCCCAGCACCTGCAGCAAGACAGGTGGGACGTCATAGTTCAGTGCTGAAAACCAGCGTGGATTTTGCTGCGTAGGCACAAAATAGCATAGGATTTTTGACCGAGAAATGAGAATTATTTCACCCTTCTCCTTATTCCGGTCGCTGAATCTTTGATGGAATGCAAGGGTTTTTGGCGTGCGGTTATCTGTCAGTTTTAATATTTGTGTCGGGGTAAGTCGCTCAACCTGCAGTTTGAGTCCTGTGAACTAAATATCTCCTCCCCGCCCATCTGTTACTCTTAATATTTTCTTCTTGCATTTCCTCACCTTGTTCCAGTTTTTCACGCCTTTTTCTCATGCTACTTTTCTGTGTTTTTGGCATGCTCGATCACAGTCAGTGTCCTGGATCAACAGCCTCCATTACAAAGCCGTTAGCGCCATCAAAGCTCGAGTCAAGGACATCCAAGCCTTTTCCGTCTGTCCAAACTCTGTCTGAATCCCTCACTCCCTTCCAATCCCCTCCTTTCCCTTATACGTCCTCCATCGCTCTGACTGCTACCGCTATCCATTGCTCTCACTTTCTTCCTTCCATCCATTTTCTCCGTCACTCTCCCACTCCATTCCTCACTGCTCTCTTGACACACATTTCCTCCGTCACCTCATCAACAGCGCCGCGGCAACAAAACACAGAGCGCCGCGCGCACCTCGCCGTCCTGGCCGGTGCCCGGGGGCAAGGCGGCAGCAAAAACGCCGCCGGCAGTGGCGTCCGGGCGCAGCTCCTGGTGACCCGGTGACCCCGGCCGCCGCCGCTGGTCGGGTCAGTAACCGGCCGCCGATCCGATCATTATCAGCTGTCGGCCGGGCGATCTGGAGGCCGGCCCGCTGGGAAGAGAGCGCCCGGACTGAGCCAGCCGGGCGGCCCACATGGCCGGCCACCTCAGCCGCCGACCAGCTGGCCCTGCACGGCCATTCAGACATGCTTACACCGGGCCAGAGAGAGCGCTGAGCGGAAGACAGGCCACAGCGCCGTGAAAAAAGACATTAAGCGGACGAAAAATGGTGGACTTGCGTTTTGAGCGAATGAGCGATTCTGCCCGAAGATGTTGTGGCTATCACAGTCAATGCCACTGGCGGGAGGCAGCCTCAGGTCATCCTCCACCAGCGGGAGGCGGCCTCAGGCCATCCTCCACTAGCGGGAGACAGCCTCAGGTCATCCTCCACTAGCGGGAGGCAGCCTCAGGTCATCCTCCACTAGCGGAAGGCAGCCTCAGGTCATCCTCCACTAGCGGGAGGCAGCCTCAGGTCATCCTCCACTGGCAAGAGGCAGCCTTAGGTCATCCTCCACCAGCGGGAGGCAGCCTCAGGTCATCCTCCACTAGCGGGAGGTGGCCTCAGGCCATCCTCCACTGGCAAGAGGCAGCCTTAGGTCATCCTCCACTAGCGAGAGGCAGCCTCATCTCGTCCCCCACTAGCGAGAGGCCTATCAATTACCACCCGCGTCGGAAGCTCCGCCGGGCTCCGTGACTGAGCAATGTCACCGTTACATAACCCGGAATGTGAGAGGGGCGGCCGTACATTCGCGGGCATCCGGTGTGCAGGCTTGACCCGAATAGTGGAGCGCCAGAGATCCGCGTTAGGACCGCCAGTCACCGCGCGACCTCTGGCGCCGCTACGGCCGGCTCCTCACAATGGCATGCCATCATGCCTTGCCGTACACATGCATCTTCGATTGGCTATCCAGCGAGAAACGGCCACTTTAATGATTGGTGAGGTTGGAGGTGCAAATGCATGAACAGTTTTACGGTTTGGAATAAAGGTTAGCTTGCCCTATTGTCCTATGCCTATGCTGGTCTTCAAATTTGCGTAACATATGCATATATATATATATATATATATATATATATATATATATGCACTAACTGATTTGTTGCAATAATCAGGATAATGTGTCAGACTCGGAACCACATATAGCAGGTCTAAGAGCGCTGGAGTCGGAATTGGCTTCAGCCCCATTGTCTTTATTTTCTTTAGATTCAGAATCAATTCCCTCTAAACTTAATTTCCACTGGTCTGACCTGCTAACCTGTGTTAGTGCTTAAGTGTTAATGCCATTGTATTGCCACTAATTGTAATACTGTGTTTGTTATCATGTTGGCACTTTTGAAAATCGATTCAGGGGCTAGCAAAATAAAGTTGACCTAACCTACCTCCAAATCATGTTTTATTCCCGGATTTCGGCCGCTTTGATTTGCGCATTTGATGCTGAAATTAGTGTAGTAGTTTTTGGTCGGTGCCAAACTTGTTTTGATGTTGAGGAATGACTTACCATATGGAGCTTATGTGTTATTGATTGTGATAACATGTGATGATGATAGCAAATTTGATCATGATATCTGATGATATTGATAGCAGCTGTTTTCACGATGGGTACATGCACTGAAAGGTTTTTAAAAAAAGTTTTAGAAATGTTTCTCTGGAGCTGTATTACACACTAACACGCTGACAACGCTAAGATTGCTTGCATGCGGTTCCATTAGCATGCAGGAGGTAAACCACATGTATCCGACAAGAGTAAGCTTGGGATATTGAATGAGACGCCTTACAGCCATTTCTTCAGCCCATGTGTTAAGCTCACCTAAATTCTAGGAAAATGCTAGGACTGGCAATCAACCATGGACATGGGCCGAAGGCATTAGACGTCGGTGGACCTATTTCTTGTTTTACACGTGTACGTGTACACCCTGACCTATAGCATGTCAATGTTAGGCCATGGATGTCAACAAAGGATTTTCTTACGCAATTTGTCAAGCGGATGTGATACAACTGAGGGTAAAACAGAGTAACACAGCTTTAAGACAATTACTCAGGCGATAAGACATTTGAATTAGGATTACAGCTGTTTCTCTTCACATTGATTTAGGTACGAAGGTCACGCTAAGGTCAAAATCCAACCGTTTTTGCTGGAAAGTTCGCTGGAAAGCTTCATAAGGTAGTTTTGACGCATTTGTCTATTCTCTTGATTCTCCCTTGCAAGGCCGTCAACACCTTTTTAAGTTCATTTCGTGAAGGGCAGGGGACGTCACTGACCAAAAACCACTTTGATTAGCCTGTTGGTTTGAGAAACTTGCCACCGAAGATGATTCTGGACAGCAATTTTAAGTTAGAATATCCAAATGATCTCTTGATTTTTGAGTAATTCTAACCGTTTAAAGGTCAGATTGTTGCTCACCAGATATGATCTGGAGTGGCCTTTTGCTTAGGAAACGCATTTAGGGTCAAACTAGCTTCGTAAGAAAGTTTAAGGTCACTTCGGACACTTATCCCGGGGTCGATCTTCTTAACTGCAATTTATTTGAATGGTCATGACCTGAAACCTAGATTGTATGTACAAATGAGCTTACAGATGGTCCCACCTCCTCTGTGAAACCTTTTGCTCTAGTTTTAGCATTTGACCTATAAACGGCATTAAATAAATCTCTCTCTTTTCCCCACCCAAGCACTTCATAATTGACCAACCACACGGGCGCGCGTTAGCAAAGCCACAGGAACAGCGATAAACATATTGCCGGAGGAGCGCAAACAAAGATAGACTTTCGCGATTTAACAATCATCGCACTCGCAAGAAAGGCTGTTCAGAATGCTGTAGCCATCGCTTCCTAAGAATAGACTAATTTTGTCGGCGCATGGCAACTGACTTGCGTGGAACTCATCCTGGTTTATTGTTATGCTGTCATCGCATGATGTAGGCACGTTTGCACTCGTGTTAAGCTGTATCTAAGCCCCATTTAAACCACCGGTCGGTGTTCAGACGGCCAGCGGCCGCCTGAGTCACGCATGTCTGCTGAAATCGAGAGTGCCGGCGGCGGCGACGTCTGGCTCGCCACAGGCTCCGCTGGCAACGTTCTCAGGCTGGTGACGCGGTCCTGGACACGCTAGCGGTGAGCTCATAACCGAGCCTGCCGCCATGGAACCGCACATGAGAATCTATGACGCCAACCACTCGGCCATAACGCCCATCCGGAACCGTTGTGAGCAGTTCAAGTAGCAGAAAATTAATGTAAGAAACAAGCCAGATGTAGTTATTACAAGAATAAGCTCGTGATAGAGGACCGCATCTTTCGCCGTGTCCTGCACAGCATTTCAGTCGGCAGCAGAGCATATCTACGCCTGGGCCGCCCGCTACCTAAGCCGAGTTCAAAAGGTTCCGTAAGGAGCTGACCTTTCGGGTCAGCGTCGCTCAGGGGCGCACGCCAAGGTCACGTCTCACCCGCTGAAGGCACCGGACGGCTGATGGCAGGGAGCTTTTTCAATCGGCCGAGTTATACAGCTCGCAAAAGCATGATTAGCAGTGACGTGGATGGTCGCAACAAAGGTCGGACATCCCCGCTTTTGGAATCCCTGGATGATCATCGGCGTCGAAACTCCGCTGTATCGGTTACGTGACCACCAAATGGTTCAGACGATCTGTCCGTGGGCCCATGAACTACCGCCGGCGCCGCAACCATATTCCCATAGTTTCAGACGGCAGTAACTCACGCGAGTCACGCCACGCGAACCAGCACCCACTGGCGTTTGTCAGGCTGTGTATCAATAGGGCGGAGTGAACGATCAATAGGGCGGCGTGAACGATCAAGAGGGCGGAGTGAACGATCTGTCACCGTACCAAAAGCCTTTGAGCGAAGCATTCAGCACTGCCTCCCGCAAGGCAGCAGTGGGTTCGTAAGTCACGGAAATGGAGCGGACAGGCTCGTCCGACTGTTACGGAATGATCAGCTGTTGTGAATATCAAATATCCAGCGACGGTTGGATGACATTCTAAAACACATTTTGGACTACCCGGTAAGTTATTGAATTTTCAACATCGTGAAAATGTATTCGAGCACTGAATCGGTACACCCACCGAGCGGTATAAACATGTGGTACGTAAGCATCAGCAAGTGCTTGGCAGGTCATCATCATCAATGACGTCAAGTACTTGAGCGTGAACCCGAGTAGCGTGCATTATATGTAGAGGTAAACCTACTCTGCAGAGAAGTTTTCAGGGAGATGGAATTTGATTTTGAGCTGATTATTTGTCAGTTGAGATTCGGGTGCAAAAAGCATCTTTCTAGCCTCACACGGCAGCTTGCTCACTGAGTATCTGCAGCAAACGATTCTCTGCGCTCAGCCAGCGCTCCTGTGCAAGGACATGTGAGCCGTCGCGACTGCATAGGCAATCCGTTTCTATCTGCTGTACATAACACCATTTGCTCGATCCTTATGGGTATCGTTAGGTGAAACCATGTAATGCAACTTTGTTTGTCATACGGCACTAGAAATGGTAGAAACCCATAAAATATAGGCCCATGAAGCGTTCACCAAAACAACCGCCTCTAGTGCACACATTATTACAAGCGTAAACCGCCTTCACTGTGTAAGGCGGCTAATTTGTGAATTGATTTGATATACCCAAACGCAATGTGGCAAATAGCTCCTACCCCGAAGAGTAAGGTTACCCACGAGCTTTGATGACGGGTCTTGTAGTTTGACTGCGGCTTTGTGCAAGGAAACAAAGATCGTCTCGACTTGGCAATCAATCTTACTACAGGAATGGGTTAAAATGTGTAGTGTTGCCGCCCTTGGTTAGAAACACATGGTGGTATTCCCATTCCTCCGATAGTTTGGAGTGCACTTCCACCTGTTACCTCAGACACTTGTAAATAGCGCAAGCTTTATGTATCCAAATTATAACAAATTACCTCGTCAAATGCCTGCCATCTTTGATTTTGTGTTAGCTTTGCAAGCAAGGAATCAACGACGATAACCGATTCAATAGCCAGTAAGATGTGTGACCTGTAAAATAGATAAATACCTGCATGAAACCCAACGAGCTCACCAATAATCGTTCATCATCAGGACTCAATATCAGCGCCCCGTAACTAGCATGTCATGGGTTTTCAAGATCATCGGTCAGTATCACAGCGATGACCGTCGGCCCGGGGCCCATCCGCGCCGACGCGCATCATGACACCGTTCCGTTTTCGCCGTTTTACGGAGCAGTGACTCTTCAGAGGCCCGCTCCCAGACGCACCACGCGAGAGCATCGATGCGTCTCCGCTTCCAGTCGCCGGAGAAAACTGTGACTCAGCTGGGGTGGAGGAAGCCGGACACGTCCGGGCATCAGCTCTGGCTGTCACAACTGGGTCACGTGATCGGGGTGACTCATCGAACGCGTCACGCAGGCTGGCGTGACGTCACGCAGGCTGGCGTGACGTCATGCCAATGCTCCACGCAGGCTCGCGTGACGTCACGGCAACAAGTCACTCACACCGTACAACGATCAATGGGTGACGGTGTTCCGGTGTAGACGCTCAATGGGTGCCGGTGTTCCGGTGTGGACGATCAAGGGGTGCCGGTGTTCCCGTGTGAACGGTCGATGGATGCCGGTGTTCCGGTGTGGACGCTCAATGGGTGCCGGTGTTCCGGTGTGGACGATCAATGGGTGCCGGTGCTCCGGTGTGGACGATCAATGGGTGCCGGTGTTCCGGTGTGAACGGTCAATGGATGCCGGTGTTCCCGTGTGAACACTCAGTGGATGCCGGTGTTCCCGTGTGAACGGTCAATGGATGCCGGTGTTCCCGTGTGAACACTCAATGGATGCCGGTGCCCCGGTGTGGACGCCAGTAATTCCAAAGGCATACACCCGGTAGGCCTCTTCTCTGACGAGGACGCCGGTGTACTTTAAAATATGTTGCAGGTATTCGCCATCATGTACCGATGTAACGCATAGGATTATAACGCGTATAAAACGGATTCAAAATAACCACGTAATAGCATACTAAATAAGAATGCTAAATATTGAACAAGACTAAGTTAACAACTGCAGCTCCAGCGTATAGTGTGATTGACGTGCAGCGTTTAAGATGCAGTACCATTATCTCGCTTGCACTGTATCATAGGCATTGTGCTCCATTGAAGAGAAGTCGTCTAGTTGGCTGCAGAAATTTTCTAACAGCAATAGACGAGTACATCAACCACTTGAAATATTGGGGCTATTCGGGTAATGCGAAGACGCGTGGCCTAGCGGGGAGGGGGGAGGGGAGGGGGAGTTGTTTGGGAAGCCCGTTACTAATGATGAGTAGATAGCTTGATATAGGCCAAGCAATCTGTCAATCTCGGAATATTGTTTCCTCCCATTCATCGGCTGCTGTCGAAGACTATTGTGGCCGAGATAACTGTGGACTCGCGTCCGGACCACTATCGCGTGCCCCATCGGTCCTGGAATAGCCAATGGCTGAAGGCGTTTTTTTTTCTCCAAAAACGTCCTAAGTAACGCAACATTTGCGCTCACCATATCCACTGAAGCGCCTTACTTAAAAGCAAATCAAGCATTGTTGCACTTTTTGGGCGTTTTTGAAACAGAATTGCGGATGGCGGCATATCGGGGTGATGTAAGTTGTTAAACGCATTTGCGAGCAATATTATGCACATAGATAAAACAGTGGTAATAGCCTTACTCCTCGGAGATAAAAAACCAGCAAAATGGAGATATGGATGCGTTGATATTTCAGCAACATGCCTTCGTCGAAGCGAATGGTAGAAGCGTTATTCGTTTCGATGGGGGCGTGTTGCCGAGATATAAACGCATCTATATCTCAATTGTCTTGGCTTTTCTGCGAGGAATAAGGCTTGAACTACTGTGTTATCTATATGGGGGTGTTGGTTGAGCTTACACTACATTAGATCTAGGTTGCGGTGTGGATGTGGTCGGCAGCGTAAACTACCGGGCAATTCCTTCACAGACACAGAACCTTCCCGATGAGAGACGCTGGAAAGGATCGCTTGCTGTGTGGGAGGACCTTTGCAATCGATCTCCATCATATAGTAATGGTTACCTGAGAAAGTATGTCGCTGAAGAGTTGAGCTAAGCAACTGGTGGATCCCCACAGAACAGCCGTTCCTCTAGATAACTAAGATTATAAGCTGTAGATTAATCGCTTCCAGGAAAGTTGATGGCACTAAATTGTTGAAAAGTTGACACAATCTAGTACTTTGAAATCACGTCCAAATTTTACCTTCCACATAGTTTTGGCCAGATATTATCAAACGTTCTCAAACATTCATACCAGAGAACTTTTTTGTGAAGGCTTGTACTTAATATCATGCATCTGCATATGGCGTCTGGCACAAAAACGCAAACTGCGTGATCCGCTTTTGCAGTGTGCTTATAACGTGGAAAGTTTTGTGGAATGATAATAATCTTGCCAGACATGCTCTAATGTAAGATCGATGGCTTGGCCAATTCCTTGCATACCACCTGCTCAGCATGCTGATGCTTTGATACAGAGGAATTGCCCACAAATTCCGATACGCCTCCAAACATACTCACTGAAGTGGGTCATATGGTAGCCGTAGCCATAGAAGCCGTCCACCAATTGATTTTAAGCCCACGATCACCGATCTGTCAAATATGCTCGTTGCTTTGACATGCTCGTCGCCATGACATGGCCTGCCGGCCGTTTTGATGAAGTAACGCGGCTGCAAAATTTCGAGGCTACGGAATAATTTGAATCGCCGGAACTTTGTGGGAAGAACGCGTTGCCGAGCTCGTAGCGCGACCCCAGCTGTAAGTGGGCAACGCGTGACTGTGGGAAGAGGAGTGACGGCTGCGAGTAGTGTGTTGTGCAGCACGGTGCGTTTGTGACGTGACTTTAGGGAGCGGTGGCTGTATCCGAAACAGCCGCGCCAATGCAAACAAGAGACGCAGTCACATGTCAGACCGAAAAAAACACCCTGCAACCGATTACCAAACTGCTCGGACGGCACAGATTACCCCGAAAGTCCCGACAGCACGACAGCGGAGACGGTCGACACTCACCAGACAGAGGGGCCTCATCCTCGCCGAGCGTCGCAGTCTCCGGCCCACGTCGTCACCCTCTGAGCAGCACCGCCGCGCCGCCGTCCCGCTGGCCGGTCCGGGGCTGCCGTGCTCTCTCGCTGTCGCCGCGCGACGTTCTGGTGTTATCTTCCTGTCGGCGCGGCGCGCGCGCGCAGTCTCCGGGTCCGCGGCGCCGCCGGCGGCTAACGGTGCCGGGCGGCGGCGGGCGGCGGGCGGCGGCCACCAGTGACCTATATCGCGGAGGCGCGCGGCCGGCCAGCTCGGCCCACTCGCGGTCTGGGGCGCAGCCGAGGCGCCGCCGCGCGATTACCGCCGCTAATGGGAGAGGGGGAGCCGAGGGTGGCGGCTGCGCCAACTGGAACGTGGCGGGCGCGCCGCGCCGTCGCCCCCGCCGGAAACGGTCCTCGGAGGATGGCGCTGTGTCTGCAGCACTGAGATGGCGGTATGGCGCCGGGAGGACTGCACGTGCTGTATGGGGGCGGGGGTTACGTGCCGACGACCCTCTGCAGGGTAATTTTATCGGCAAACTGACTCTTTGATCTTAGGCAAATATTTGGCAGTTCTCATCATTATGTCCTGTTCACCCAGATTTTCAACCGGTTCCGGTTGTGCGCCATGGTAAGGAGGTTGACTGCAATTTCCAGTCCAGTGGTACAAATTCCAGGGCGAAAGTGCCTCGAGAATGCCTTTGTGGAAATACAACGGTGAATGCTCTTACGTTTAATAGCCAAACACCGGTACCACCCAACACCGATTTTCTCGGTAAACGACTATCCAAAGCACGTTTTAAACAGTGTTCAGGTGGAGAGATGGCCGGGAAGCTACCGGAACGGGTCAGAGAGGTGACAGAGGTGAACGTGAGACGGGTGGGCGGAGCGGTGGACAGGGCGAAGGGCATCCCTGTTGACACCAGTTGGGTTTTTCCTTGTGATATGTAAATGAGACAGTGTTGTGGAAAGTGAGACAGGTTGCGCAACAGCCCGGTCGTAACGTAAATTTGGCCTTGTATTAGGGGTGTAGCGTCCCTATCAGTTGCGGAAAGGGCTCCAGTTCCCAACATTGAGAGGGATTAGGCAACATGCTAAGAGAAAGTCACTTCGGCATTCGTTGGCGGCTGTTTTACCCATTTTCCCTGCTTTGTCCTCCCAGTATGTTTAAAGCACTGAAAAACAACTTAAAAACTCTTAGAACACTGAAATACTCGTTTCTATGCTCGTTACTACTCGTTTAAATACTCGTTCTCCTTTCCTCGTCATCTCATCCATCAATCCCCTCGGACATCAACACTTGGGTCACTTGCTGAATGATAAAAAGTGCTGGTGCACCGACAGCATGAGCTCAGATGCATTCATTGTGGGGCAGCCGGGGCCGATGACAGAATTCCTGTGCTGTGAACTAGGATCTGTCCTATTAATATTTTGTGTTTTCTAAGTTGTCCTGTTTGCGGGCAGAGAAGTAGTGTTTAACTGTGTTAACTACGTCCATTTCCTTGTCTATTACATATGTATATATGTATATATATATATATATATATATATATATATATATATGTATGTATGTATGTATGTATGTATATATACTTTGCTGTACTCAAAAAGTACTGCAGCCTGTTTTGAGCACTTGCACCGAAACGTTTGAGGGCTCTAGCCTCGCTTCCTTACCACCCACGTGAGCTTGCTGGGAGCTTCGCTGGATCCGGATTTCTCTCTTTCTGCGGTCAAGATAAGGCGTGGCTCGTACCCTTGCGGGAGGATGGGTAATTGCCTACTTCCTTAAATGCGGCCCCAGTGTGGCGTAGCTGAGTCACTTAGCCCTTGGACGAGAACCGACCCAGGAGCTACAAACCCAGTACATTTTTTTGGGTGTGAATTGGTGAGACGCTCATGTATATTGAGTGTGTGCAGTTTACATGTTCATAGTTCAATGATATGTTCATTGTTCATAGCTTGTATGTTCATAGTTATGAATGACTTCTTGAGTGATATGGTATCCGTCAGGACGTGGTTTAAACAGAAAAGTTTTTTAAACCAAGCATCGGCTTGATGTTTATGACACAGGGACTAGCCAGCACCATTGTGTCGTAGCAACTTATTCGTGAGACATTTAAACGTGAGGCCCCATTGACAACCATGCAACCGTTGGCTAACAACTTCCATATTCACAATTGTATGGCTGAAAATCTAGGCTTCTCCTCTCATTAATAAACACTAAGCCTTGTCTTGAGTGGAAATCGAACATAACGTAATTTGTTCGGGGAAAAGACCATGTTTGGTCACACGAAATGACATACTTTGTCACACTAATACGGAGACATTACCAACCGGAGCACAATCAAACGCGGACAGTGTGAGGCACTCATCTCACCCTCGTATTTCATGATTGGCTTCTGGCCTCACATATTATAGTACAGTTTTACCTAAAATAATGTTTTTTCTCTATCCAATGGGATCCTGACGACATCTTATATCCCGGCATCCCGATCCCGATCCCGATATCGATCCCGGCATCCCGATCCCGACCCCGATATCGATCCCGACATCCCGACATTCTGATCCCGATATCTATCCCAACATCCTGATTCCGATTCCAATGTCTATCGCGACATCCAGATTCCAACCCCGATATCGATCCCGTCATCCCGATTCCGATCCCGATATCGATCTCGATATCAATTCCGATATCGATCCCGACATCCCGTTTCCGATCCCGATATCGATCCCGGCATCCCGATTCTGATTCCGCACGTCACGTCTGCGTGCCAATCCATTTAAAACTGACCATGCAGCATATATGAGTACAATATAGTTGTCCCGGCTCATAATGGGCACAATGGCTTTATGGGGAGCCATGGCTCGCGTGGCTGCGGACCGTTTGGAAGCCAAAACCTCAACGTATTGTCCGGGGAAGATTGGTTTAGTTTTATGGGTTTAGTTTATGGAATACTGGTTTCCTTTATTAGCATGCATTGCACAACCTCGGGCGCGTGGAATGCATTATATTTCCACTGTAATGCTCCTTATTTCTGCTGAACAATGATGCCCCTAGCAGGAGAGACTGCGAGAGCAAGCTCCGCGTTTCCAGGGGGCCTTCTTCCAGACACAGTCGGAACAAGAAGCGGCACGTGGCGTGACCCTGGCTGAGCCTGGACGCAGTGATGCGTGGGCTCCGGCGATAGCGGCGAGCGGGCCAGCACCGCCAACTTCTATATCTTTTCGGGCCGCTGGTCCGCGCCGCACCCTCAGTGAACCATGCACGTGCTCACGGGCGCACCCAGGACAGAGCTGATCGCGGACAGTCGCTGCTACGAGCAGGCGACGGCATCGCTAACTAGAGGGAGTCGTTCAATTCCAACGAGTGAGCTGAGAGAGCGTGCCCTCTCGTCACCTTGCAGGTCCGCCTCTGACGGCAGCGCACCGCCGGAGGCAGTGTGCGCAAATGGACTGCAGTATGAGGGCAAACCAGTTCGAGGAACAGGCCCGTGTTGAGCCGCTCCAGCCGCCAGCGAAAGGTCAGCCTGAGGTCACTGTGCCAAGCGGCTCATGCATGCGCATGCCGGGTGGTCCCACCGCGGGGGAATGTGGGCCCGCCACTGATCCTCCGGTGTTACGACAGCCAACACAATGCGCTGGCTCGGATGGTTAGAGCCATGTAGTTATCAGAGAGCTGCTCACAGACCGGGCGTGAAGATTGTTTTCTCAGCCAATTCGCCTCACCCACAGCGCTAAGGTTGAGTTATGGGCAATTGTAAGCTGAGGAAACTTTTCAGACGTCATTTGAACACATATGAGGATCACATAAGTTGGTAGGTAGGTGGGTATTAATGAGTAGGCGAACAATATAAATCGAACAGCTGTACTCATGAGTTGGGTATCTGAGGCTATTCCTTCGAATATCCAGTCTGGACGCAACGCTTTACCTTATGATGCGTAGACAGTCGCATATCAGACATTGCAGAGCGCGCCCGCCACATACCACCTGAGTTGTCGACAGAGGCTTTGACGGCAAAAGGATAGTATATGGCAGTATGTCAATAGCGTTTGCCTTTCGTGATTGGTTGGAGGGAAGATTCGCTAGCCACACAAGCTAATGCGTTTGAACTCTACGTAAGTACCACTCCAGGCTAGGTGCAGGATGTCGGTGTAGCAGAACAGCAGCGTTGTCAACCGGTGCACGAAGAGTGCAACAGGACCTGGCCATTCAACAACCCATCACACCGGAAGCCGCTGCTCGCTCCAAATGCCGCGCCAGGTCGGTCGGGCTTCATGCTCACCATTCTACATGCTTCCATGCCCTCATTAGCTCGTGTCTGCCGCCAAAAATCGGCTAAATGGGTCAGGCAACGGCTAATGCGCTGACTAGGCGGCACGCGTCGGGCAGCGCCGGCTAACGTAAAAAGGGATATAAACTGCATTGGAGCGGCAATGCAGCAACCATCATGACTGTGATACGACTGTTGTTTAGCATTTTATGTGAATTGTTGATGAAGGAGCTTAGGTCTCTGGTCACAATCCAAGCAGAGAAGAAAACGCTGAAACGAATCAAGGGGACATTTAAGACGGACACAAATCGTAACGCGACACAACATGCTCGTCATCCTTGTGCTCATGTGAAGTTATCAGTTTTCCAATCAAGGCATACCGCGTTGGCGGGCGGTTGGTGTGTACTGTATCCATGCTTAACATGTGAGCAGATATACCACCTTTAAATCATTAAGAAGAACATACTTGCGCACGTCCATAGAAATGATCAGGCATTTTTTATCGTCTAAGGACCTATGAGAAATTCTGATACATGGCTGACATCGTTGCACGAACATCCGACACGTTTCCCAAAAAAAAACATTTGAACATACGACTAATACGCACGGTAACATTTCCACAGCCAGACAGGGCTTCCCCGGCACAACGGTGGTAGCGGACTGATGCAGCTATTCAGTGTCAAGGAAGCTGACTGCATGTACAAAATAAGCCATTTGTATCGCATACGGGTAGACAATTGCAGCCTGTAGATTGATCAGTGAAGTGCCGTATCTTTTCTGGTAACAAACGATGCTTTTGCAAGCGACGAATGCATCGAAGCACCAGCTACCAAACGGACACGGAGTGCGGAGCAGCATAATCCATTTTGTCAGACCGGTTTGGCAAGTATCTCCGTGCAGAATCAGTTCGAGAAACTAGCCCGACTGTCCATCGCGGCGTTTTGGACTGGAACGGGTAGACAGCCGGTGGGAAAACACCGTGCACCGTAAGAATTAAATCGCTTTTGCTGGGACAGCAGCTGCAACCAACGACCGAATCTCAGTAATGCAGCGCTGCCCCAAGAAACGACCAGTACGGTCACGACTTGACGAATGAAAAACAATGGAGCGAGGCGCGAATTCTAAGTAACATCAGTGCTCGTTCGTCAGAACTTGCAAGTTAACTTTGGTGTACAGTCGCAGTCACACTCTCGCAGCGAAATTTTATGCCTGCCACCGAATGCGAAAAGCGCATACAGGATTCATAAAATCAAACACATGGCAAAAATCTGTGCTCAATATAATACAATTTGTACGCACATGTGTAATATGCGGCTCCCTTGATCACGAAAATACGTGAAGCAAACGACAAAACTAAGACGGCCAATCCTATTTTGTCTGACAGAGCGTCACGTCACGTCAGCGTCACGGCAAGGGTTACACCGGAACACCGCAGCACCAGGAGATACAGCAGCAGGAACACCGCAGCACCACTGCGCCGGACGCTCTCTGACCAGGCGGGCCCCGGAGAACCGGCTGCCCGGTGGAGGTCACGGGGCCGAAGATGACCGGTCACGACCACTTTCCCGGCGGCCACCGGCCGGGCCGCTTTCCTGCCCGGGGCCGCGCGAGCTCGGGGTCGAGCCGCAGACGCTTTGGGGCCGGGATGGCGGCGGTGGTTTACGTGGCGCTCCTGCTATTGCTGTGGTGCTGTGACGACGTCGGTGCGGTACCAGCCGCCCCCGCGGCGGCAAGGCAGGCGGGAACGTCGGGAGCGACGCAGCTGCCGCTGCTCTGGACGCCGGCGGCATCCTCGACGACACCGGCGTCCACAGTGAGGTCAGCATCAACGACGACGGAGCAGCCGCCGGAGTCCACGCCGACGAGAAGCCCGCGCTTCTGGGCGCCGCTGGAATGGACTCTTCCAACCATCCCTCCGCCGCCAGCGGAAAGCCCTCTGCCCACATTTAGGCCTCTCGACTGGACCCTTCCAACGCTACCCACAATTGGATGGGACACGGCCACGCGGCCGGCGGTCGAATGGAGGCCCGTAGTGAACGGCTGGGGAGGAGAGGAAGGTGGAGCCGAGAAGGTCCAGATCGTATACCATGACGAAAGCGCAGAAGAGGGCTACAAAGTGATAGATGAGGGTCACTATGTGGTAGAAAAAGGACACAGGGTTGTGTACAAGGGCTATGAGGTTCTGGAAGAGGGCAAAAAGAAGGTGAAAGAAGGCCATAAGGCTGTAGTGCACGGATTAAACAAACTTCATCAGGGATTGAAGGTAGTGGAAAAAGGTCACAAAGTAGTAGAGCATGGCCACAAGGTAGTAAAAGAAGGGCACAAGAAAGTAGAGGAGGGTCTGAAGATAGTAGGAGAGAGTCACAGCGGACATAAGCTCAACCAGCACGCCTCACCTCCTCCGACACACACGTGGACCGGGCTTGGACTTCCTGCACTGTCGTGGCTCTCAATGCCGTCACTGGATTGGACTCCGCCATGGCGACGATGGTTCGGTAAAAATGAGGACAGTAACGGTGGTGGTGATGGAGATGGAGGCGAAGGGTATGAAATGGAGGACTACTATTATGGAGGGGAAGATGAAGACACAGAACAGGGTGAAAATCATGACAAAGACAGCAGTGAGGACAGTGACAAGCAGCATGAGGAAGATGAGGGCGATGCTGAGGAAGAGGAAGCAGCGGAACAGAAGGAGCAGCCTGAGTTGTACCACCCACAGACAGCGGACGAGATAGAGAATCTTGGTGGGCTGGCCAGCTGGAACCCGTTTTTAACTCGGACCGACCAGTGGGTGGACCGCATTACCGGCATGATGGGCCAAGGTGTTATGCTGCGCGTAGACCGGTGCCCGACCCGGGACTCGCTGGACGGCTGCCAGAAGGGCTGGTATTGCGGCATGGGCTTTTTGGGCAATTCGTGCTGGAGACAAAAGAGGAGGCGTCAGCCTTGCGTACGCAGCGTTCAGTGCCGTACTGGCGAGTGTATTGCATTTCGGTGTGAGGCTAAGAGATGCAGGCTACGGGATGAAAGCGAGGAGGAGAAGACTGGTGGAGATGTCTGAAGAGGATGATAAGGAAGAGGAAGACGACGAGGCTTCTTCCTCGTCATCGGACGATTACTATGATTTCTATGCAGATCAGGAAGAGGAAGAAAAGGAAGAAGAGACTGAAGAAGAAGAAGAAGAAGAAGATGATGATGATGATGAAAGAGAACACTCTGAAGAATCTGAAGCGCACCGACGTAGTCAACGGACAGGCAGAGAAATGGATGACTTGGATGACTTGGATGACAACCGAAAGCAACTAAACGCCCATATACAATTAGTTAACGCTGAGATAAAGAAAGACGAGAATAGACAGATGAACCTAAACGGCCACATCAAAATAATTAATGACAGGATCCGACGAAAAAACAAACGAAAGGAGAAAAAGAAGGCGATGCGCAGGAAAAAATATCAACAAGACCAAGAACGGAGACGAAAAAAGTACACCGACTACGATGGTGACGGATATTGTGATGAAGTCGGTGTCGTAACGACTACTACCGAGATCATGCCCCCTTCAATACGTCCCTCTACCGTGCTTCCCGACGGCGTTCACCCCCCGGGGGTCCATCCCCCGGGGGTCCATCCCCCGGGGGTCCACCCCCCGGGGGTCCACCCACCAGGGGAAAATCCCGACGAAGAGGTCACCGGTGGAGTCCGGCCGCCAGGTGTGGAGCCGCCAGGAATAGAACCAACGGAGGATAGCTTTCTTGGAGTCCATCCGCCAGGTGTGCCGTTGGTCGAACCACCAGGGGTGCAGCCACCAGGAGTTCTCCCTGTCGGTCCGCCGCTGATAGAGCCTCCGGGCGGTCATCAGATAAGTGGTGTTGATGAGGCCGGTGGACTTCTCTCAGTTACAGCAACCGGTGGACTGCTGCCCATTCCACCAACGGGTCACGCAGTCTTACCGCCGTCCTTGCCGCATCCTCCACTGTCGTTCACTGAGTACCCAGCGGTGTCCGTCGGTCTCTCCGTCACCGAGTTTCCTTACACGCTGTCAGGGCCGGATCCTGTGCATGCGGTGTATCCGCCCCCCGGATACCGCCCTGATGTACCAGGGCCTGTTCCTCCTGGCAGCTTGCCTGAAGAGACTCAAGCTCCTGCCCCTCCTAGTGAAATAAGTCCTCCCTCTGGAGAGCACCCCGAAGAGTTTTCAGGGCCGCTTCCCCCCGGAAGTACGCCATTACCTTCTGAACTGCGCCCTGAAGAGGCTCAAGCCCCTGCTCCTCCTAGTGAAATAAGTCCTCCCTCTGGAGAGCACCCCGAAGAGTTTTCAGGGCCGCTTCCTCCCGGAAGTACGCCATTACCTTCTGAACTACATCCTGAAGAGGCTCAAGCCCCTGCTCCTCCTAGTGAAATAAGTCCTCCTTCTGGAGAGCATCCTGAAGAGTTTTCAGGGCCGCTTCCTCCCGGAAGTACGCCATTACCTTCTGAACTGCGCCCCGAAGAGGCTCAAGCCCCTGCTCCTCCTAGTGAAATAAGTCCTCCTTCTGGAGAGCATCCTGAAGGGGTTCCAGCGCCGCTTCCTACCAGCGAAGTAGGTCCACCGACTGGGTCGAAGCCCCCAGCCCCAGAGCCAGGCCGTCCCACAACAGAAACTCCTGAACCTCACCCCTATTCTGCTCGGCCATACCCTGACCATCATCATCCAGGAACTGACCCTGATCGTCGTTATTATCGACCGAAACCTGATAATTATTATCCTACTCCAAAACCAGACCATCACTATCCTACTCCAAAACCAGACCATCATTATCCTACTCGAAAACCGGATCATCATTATCCAGGGACAAGACCGGAGCTTCCAGGGCCTTTTCCTCCTAGCCAAGGAGGTCCACCGATTGGGCCGAAGCCCCCATCCCCAGAAACGAACCATCCCACAACAGAATCTTCTGAATCGTACCCCTATCCTTCTCGGCCATACCCTGATCATCATCCAGGAACTAACCCTGATCATCCTTATTATCGACCGAAACCTGATCATTATTATCCAACTCCAAAACCAGACCATCCTTATCCTACTCCAAAACCGGACCATCATTACCCTACTCCAGAACCGGACCATCATTATCCAGGGACAAGACCAGAGCTTCCAGGGCCTTTTCCTCCTAGCCAAGCAGGTCCACCGATTGGGCCGAAGCCCCCATCCCCAGAAACGAACCATCCCACAACAGAATCTTCTGAATCGTACCCCTATCCTTCTCTGCCATACCCTCATCATCATCATCCAGGACCGGACCCTGATCATCCTAATTATCAACCGAAGCCTGATCCTCATTATCCAACTTTAAAACCCAATCATCCTTATCCAGGGACAAGACCGGTCCATCACGCCACAAAAGCCTCCTGCGTCTTACTCTTATCCGGCTCGACCTTATCCTGATCAGAAATATTTGGGGTCAAATACTGATCATTACAAGCCGACCCAATACCCTGATGAAAACCACCCGGGACAAGAACCTGGTTACCAACATCCAAGGCCACCTCCTAATCACCACTCAGGATCAAAGCCCGATCGTCTTTATCCAGGACTAAAACCTGGCCATCAGTATCCAGAAAAGCAACCTGATGATAATCGCATCGAACCAGAACCTGTAGGCTCAACCACAGTTATCTCGTCCACATTGCAAAATAGACCAACTCCGGGGCCAGACCGTCATACCACAGTATTTCCACCTCCTGTTTCTTCAGCTCCTCTCACTCCAGAGCCTGAGCGTGAGCCCACCGACTCTCCTCCCTCCCGTCCCCACCCACCCGGTCTAGGGCCTAATTTTGAGGCCACAGATTCTCTTTCTGCCCTTCCCCCAGGTCCAGAATCTAGTGAAAAGCCCATTAGTTTCCCTCCATCTTCACCACATCCTGCAGGTCCGAATTATAATCAGGAGTCCATGGTTAGCCCTTCCCTCTCTCCTCACCTCCCAGGTTTGGACCCGAACAGGGTGCTCTCAAGCTCCCCTACCACTTCATCCCAGCATATTTCGTCACCAGAGTATATTGAACGCACCACAACACCTCCACCCTTGCATCATTCAACACCGGAGCCTGACCGTCACTATGCAGAATCACCCGCATCCTTCGTTCACCACACTTCTGCGACACCTGAGCCTGGTCATCATTATGCTAAGCACAGCTTACCATATTCACATCACACAACACCTCACCCAGACCAGCTCTTTCCAAAACCCTCTCCACCTTATCCACATCACATGGTGCCGGACTACGAAAATCATCACACAAAACCCACCGCAGCCTACCCCAGTCTTCCAACATCAGCTCCCGACTATCACAACACCAAGCCAGGTGTCCCATCTGTCTGGCACCGCACCGCCAGATCCTCCGTCGCCTCCGTCTGGTCGTGATCCACCAAGACCTCCGTCACCTCCGTCCGGTCCCACTCCTCCAGGACCTGTGTCGCCTCCGCTCGGCCCCGGCACCGATTCCACCCCCTCACATAGCTCAGAGGGGGCTCCTCTATCGCCAATGCACCATCCCAGTCCCGTCGCCTTGCCGCTGTCACCGGACGGCGTGCCGCCCGAGGACAGTGGGCCAGGAGGGCACGAGCCGGGCGATGGGGAAGGAAGTCTGAGCGACGGGAAGACCGGCAGGGCACGGACCGGGCGGTGGAGGAACAGGTCTGAACGAACAGGTTAGCCGCCCGCCAGCGGCAAGCCCAGGGGGTCTGCAAACGCCAGCCGCTCCTGCGTCCGCCCCCGGGCACGCCAGACATGCGCCGTCACCACCAACGCGTCCAGCGCCACTGAGACGACCTCCGCAGCGAGATGGCGTCTCCGCCGCACCGGACCGAGCCTCGGGACACAAAGACGGGCATCACCAGTCGGCAGCGGGCGTGCATCCTCGGCAGAGAGCGAGGTCGGCTTGGTGACCCGGAGCGAGCGGTCATCCAGAGGAGGCACGGCACGACGGCGGCGGCGGACCGCGCCAAGATCGGTTCCCTCTAGCGACTCGGAGCGGGCGGTCATCCAGAGGAGGCATGGCACGACGGCAGCGCCCGACCGGGCCAGCATCAGTCCCAAAATCAGCCGACTGATCGCGTCCATCATTCACCGGCGGAGCGGTGAGGGCAGTCGGACTCGTGCGGCGCCGTCGCTGGCTGGTGCCGACGGTCGTGCAGCCGGTGGTGACGGCCAACTGGGGCGCCGTCCCTAGCCGCTACGTTAGCGACAGTGCGGAGAGTTAAGGTGGCGTCGGATATTTGCGAGAAGCGTTGTAAGCGTTTATTTATCTTGCTTACTTTTAGGGATGTGTGATTTGGGCTGCCTTTCTTTCCGAGGAAATTTCCTTAACCACCTAATGAGAAGGTGGTTAGAAGATGTGAGAAGAGAAACTGCGCTCAAAAATGGACGCACAAGTTTCGTGCAGGACCAATACCGGTGCACTTCAGTGTTGTACGTTAGGCACTGCCAGTATTCAAGTGTCATGTATGCTTTGTCGAACTCTATTTGTGTGACATTTCACCATTGTGTCTTGTCAGATAGATAAAGCGCATGATACGTTTATATGACGTTGTGAGGCATTAACGCAGGAAATAATGCCGGCTGACACATCTGGCAGAGTCAACTAGTGACACCAAGCGAATGTCTTAGTATGGCGATTTTTTGACAACATGCTGAATGACTGTTGTTCGACCAAACATTCCGAGCGTTCCTATTTTACCACCCAAGAAATGTTCATGTTTGTCTTAACAGTATGTAATAAAATCATATTGTAATTGTGGGATTTGCAAACCTAATAATGATTCATGCCAGCACTTCCTACACCGCCTTCGTTTGCCAAACCGGAACAGCACGCATATAATATGTGAACGGCATGCATATATATTGAACAGTACATAAACATTCGAAATGCGATGTCATATTGAGGTCATAAGCCATCTGTCGCTGCTGTATGACTACATTAAGAGTAAAGAGGCATGACTGATGAGAATGAGAAGATGTCGGCACGACAAAGGGGCCACTGACATGGTGACTGAGTACTCCTTAGACAGGACTGAGAAGAGGTCTGAGAGGTCCAATAGATCATGGCAAAGAGGCCCTGTGCCATCATAAACTATCTGCGGTGGATCGAAATTGAGGTCAAACCTAGCTGGCTTAGCTGAGGATTTTGCCATTCGGTCGCACAGATCTGTCACAAATCTGGTATTAATCGCTTTAGCGTCATCTGT